CAGCGCCCCGCGCCCCGCACCCCGGCCCGCAGGAGCCCCTTTCCCCGGGGCGCGTGGAGTGGGGGCGGGGTGGCGGCGAGGCCAAGGTGACACCCAGAAGCGGGCAGGGACGGGGCTTTGGCGGCGGCAGCACACCCGGGGGGCTCCGGCGCGTCTCCCCGGGTACCGGGAGAGCGGGGCCGCGGAGGGGGCGCGAAGCCTTCGGGTCCCGGGTGAGCGGAATGGGAAGGTGGGGGCCGGAGAGGAGCGGGGCCGCGGCAGCCCTGCAGCTTGAGTTTCAAATGAGCTCATCCTTTCAAATTGGCGCCGCTCTTTATTAAATTTGTTTTTCCGGTAGTGCCACCCACAGCTCTACCTGGGGTCGGCCCCAGGCTCGCACCCTTCCCACCTCTCTCCGAGACCCGGGGCGCCCGCCTTTCTTCACCCTGGGCGCTAAGTTCGCCCAGCTGGAGCCGGGCGCGAGACCCCTGGAGGGCGCCCGAAGGCGGAGCCCGAGCCGGGAGCTGAGTGCTCGCCCCTCCTCGACCCCCGCGGGTTTGAGCTCCGGAAGGTTCTGAGTGTTTTAAATTTCTCTTTTAAAGGTAAAGTGGAATTGCATGGGAAAATCATGGAAGTTGATTATTCAGTCTCTAAAAAGCTAAGGTAAATATACAGTACTTTGCTTAGTTTTTCTGTGTGTGTGTGTGTGTGTGTGGATTGGGTGTAAGTATTAAGTAAAAAAACACACTCAGCTTTTAAAAACGCGTTCCTAACAGTTTTACAAAAAGTTGTTGTTTGTTTTCATCGGGAAGATGCATAGTTTATAAAGTTAAGCTTTTTTAGTTTCATTATATAAGGTGTTTACTGTACTTGGAAAATATCTGGCGCCTAATTGGGGGTCGGGAAGGCGAACGCTAGGTAGGTTCAGCTCGCTCGCTGGGACCGTTTAACTTGTTTATCAAAAGTCGCCTCCCACCCCCCACTTCCCACTCCCACCCCTACCCCCAGCACAATGCAACAAATGCTTGTCAAGACTTCCTGTGAGATGTTAAGAGTAAATATTTACTGTGTCAGCTCAATTGCTTAACTAAACTACGCGATTACTTTTCTTTTTAAGATAGTTTAATGCTGAATAATAAAATTATTCAGTAAGGGGTCAGTATTTTGCATAGCGTTCTAAAGAAATACAGTAGGTTTGTTTGGTTTGGATGACAGTGAAAAGTTTAGACTTTCAGTCACTGAGACAACTGAGCATTGCTTCTGAGCACGTTGTGTTGTTATTGTTGCTTTTAAGAAATGTTTAAGGCTAAACAAATAGCCGTGGCAAAAATCGATGGTTACGTTTAAATGCTGTATTGTTCATGAAGGAGTGACAAGTTTTGTGGAGGTTGGACTTCATAGTGATTTGCTAAGATGAGAAATATCTACGGAGGAAAGAAAGAGGGAGAACAGCGTGGTTTAGAAGTTTATTGTGGACTTTAAATTTGGGCCCTTTGTTACTCATTCTCAACTTTTCTTCACCATTAGTCATTAAGTAGCTGAATTGGAAAGTCTAAGAGAAGTTTTTGATTTACCTTTACAATTTGTGTTAGTCAGTAGGGTAGTCACTCACTTGATTTTTGCCAAGATTGAATAGATTTTAAAAAAAACTTCTTTAATTTCATAAATGCTTGGATGTGGTGTCGAAGGAATTTGTAAAGACCGTGAACGCGCTTCCAGATACATTTTAATTTAAGCAACAGAATATCTTTTGTTTGCAAACGATTCTGTGACATATTAGAAAATTACTTAATATCTTTTTTTTAAAAAGACCTAAGAGTCACAGTTTCCAGTTTCATGTCTTCTATTAAGCTACTTACGTTGGAAAAGATGTAGTGTGTAACTGATTGGATTTAATACAGTATTTTAGATTTGCAAACTTAAAAAAAATTTTTTTTTTGCATGAGAAGTCCAAGTGGAAGCTTTCTGTTATACTGTTTGTTTAAATTACTCATCTCATGGTACTTGAAAATTTGATGACAATATTGAATGATGTTTGGAAAAAAACCATTCAAAATGTGTGATGCACTATGTTTCTATAGATGTCTACTTCTATTGGCCCCCCAGCTATTGTGCATCCTTTTTGGGGTTATAAGGAATAAAAATAAGTAGAATTTTAACTTTAGTTAGCTGGTGTCTCATTTCATGTTGCAAAGTACATCTTTGAATTTTGCAATATAAAAGGAATACTGCTTTATCCAAAGTTATCAACATCAAGTAAACTTTGTCAACAAATATATTAGTTTTTAGCTTTTTTCCTTTCAAAATGCAGATACTTGCTATTGGCTAGAGTATCATTTATATAATTTTGTTTGTATAAGTCTAGAATTACAGGCATGTCTCATGTTTTTAGTATAAAGAACCATCTAGGACTTCCCCAGCCCTATTAGTACATGTTTCTTTTAACATGTTGCTAATATGAAAGACACAGAAGGTAGATTAAAATGTGCTGTGTATGATTCACTACAGTTGAAGCTGTTTAACATACCAAGTGTATGCATAAGCTGCTGCTGTAGAGGAGTTGTATCATTTCTATTGGATGGTTTTAATCTTTTTTTCTTTTCCTTTATTAGAATAAAATGCAGAAATTAGCTACTTGTATGCAGGCTGAGAGGGAGCTAGCCATGACTGGTACTGTGCACTGAGTTCAGAGTCCTGGGTGAGGACTTGGGTGAGGCGGTTGTGTGTGCTCATGTAGTCTGGGAGCTACCGTGCTGGTGGCTTTCAAGATACCAGGGTACTGTGACATTTGAACCCAAAGCTTTTATGTTATGTGGTGACTATTTTGGTGTTCCTTTGTTGCATTTCTATGAAAATTAACAAGTTAGGAGTAAATTTGTGAGCAGTAGGTCAGATCTGTATGTGGTCTTGTGTTAGATGAAGTGAAAATGTGAAGAAAACAGTTCATCCTCATTGCTTGGTTGCTGAAGAAATGATTCAAAAATTAAGTGCTAATTTTCTTTATAGTGTACTTATTTCTTGGATTTTTCAAGAAGCAGTTTTAATGTCTACATTCCAAATGAGTTTTTTTAAGCTAATGGTAGTTTGGAGTGAGATATTTTTATCTTAATTTGTGAAATTGTTGGTATGTCATTTGCTTACCAATTGAGTCTGGCTAAATATTGTTTCAGCATCATTTTGTATGTGCTGTTACGCAGTAGACAGACTAGATACCATTATTTTCTCAGTTATTGAAAAATATTACATTCTTTTTTCTTTTTGCCACATGAGTTTTGTTCTTAAATGCAAATTAATGTAAACCACAAACAAAACATCTATTTCTCTTACTTTCTAAGTTATTTTCAGTCTGTTGAATAAAAATTTTGTATCATTTTTCTCTATTCATATTTCTTGGCAGCGTGTATGGATGAAAGATGAAAAGACTGATTAACTTAAAATGCTGTTAAAAGTTGTAGAAACTTTCTTGATAGAAATTTTATTTTTGATTATTGATATGAGTCTACTTTAGAAAAAAAAGTCATGTATAGGTACACAGACATGTTACAGAAATTGTTTTGAGCTAAGACATGCAAACTTGAGTGTGCTTTTGTATCTGAAGTTGAATGATTCTGTGAGAAACGAAATTTTGAAAAATGCAATTTCTGCCCATTTTTAGGAAGTGACTGATGCTACACAAGGTTCCACTGAGATGGTGTCAATACTATGAGGTAGTATAGGAAAAAGCTATGAATTTGCCTTTCATGAGTTAAAAATCAGTAATTGTGTTCTCTCCAATGCAAATGAATTTGGTCTCCTATAGGAATGTTAAAGAAAACAGTATCTCAATTGTATTTTGCTTGTATGTACTACATTGTGTAGGGTTGAGTTTTAAAAAAAACCCATCCAACCTCAAACCCTCCCTATAAACAAAGGCTTTTGCTGCAGCAATTTTTAATTTTCTAGAAACAGAAAAGACTTTTCAATCATACGGTTGGCTCTTATTTCAAGAATTTGTTGAATTAGAAATTAATGCCTGGATTTAATTATTATAGATTTCATGTGGGTTATAACATGTTGATATAAAATATATGATATCAGACTTTAAAGTTACTTTTGATTTGACTTTGGAATTGAACATTTAGCTTCCCATTTTTAAAAAAGTTAATTTTAATACTTTTCTAGCCAGTACACGTTTTTGTGACCTTAAAGACATGTGTTAGAGTTATAGAAGCAATAAAGAAAAAAAAAGCAATAGAGAAAAAAATTACTCGATAACTTAGGTAATGATGCAGGTTTAAAACTAGTTTATATTTTTGATAGAGTAGTCATTTGGATTTTTACATTATTTAACATTAAAAATGAGTGAAATCTACAAATCAAATCAAAGATTTTATGTTTTGCTTGATTTTCTAATTCATTAAATAAATACCAATTTTAAATTGCAGAGTAACAATTTATGGAAGTATTTAATAGCCAAACACCTAAACATTTAATTCTAAAAGGCATGTAGTACATTTGGCAAATTGGACTTTTCAATAATATTTCCTTGTAATTATACCTAATAAGCTGACCAGAAAGAGATGGTCTAAGAGTTTTGTGTTTTATTGTGTTAAACTGAGATTACAATTTAATAAATGAGGAAAAATTAGTTATATTTGTACAAAGCTTTTTATACATAATGGTTTGAAGTACAATATATTTTTAAAAGAAATGCTTTTTAACTTACAAAAATTTTAAAGAAATTAGAAGATTTAGAACTAATTACATAATGTAGCATTTCAGTATTATTTTGAGTAAACTTTTGTGGAGGCTTCTCTGGTTTTTTAGTAGCTTGCGAAGGAATGTAAATGATGTTGAATTGTGCATAAAAGTATAGTTAGTAACCTGGGCACATTTATTAAAAGTCAGAAAAGCTATGAAAAACAGATTGCTACAGGAACTATTAATATAGGTTTGATACTTTTATACTTTATAAATATTTGCTGTCTGCAACTGAATCACTCTTCCAAGTCTGGTAATGCATCTCAAAAGTAGATGAGCACTTGGCCAGAGTTGTTAGAGGATATTACTTAGCGAATTATGTCATCTCTCTGATTCAGTGGAGTGTGTGCAAATGTGTGTGTCAGTTTTGTGGGGGACATAGTTTCAGACAGATGGTATCAAGAGGGAAGAGGAGGAGGTCTTACTGAGCAGCAGTTGCTCAGGATTTCAGTCCCTGGGTGATTGAAACTTGTCAAGACAATCAGAGGCAAGGGGATTCACCTCCAGTGATGCCTAACACTTGGAGGTGGTTCTCCTGAAAGTCCTCAGGGCCACCTGTGGTGGCTTTTTCAGTGACCTTGTTGAGAGGACCGTCCCAACGCAAAATCTACCTTCTTTCTTTTTAGCTTGCATTTCCCTTCTCACAAGTGATTCTGTGAAGGCTTTGATGATCTGTGATCCTTTTTTTTTTTTTGGTACTGGGGATCGAACTCTGGACCTTTCGCTTGCCAGGCAGGCAGCAGAACCGCTGAGCTAAATCCCTGGCCCTGTGAGCCATTTTTTAAGTGTTAGAAAATTCCAACGTTGTGCATTTTTATTTAGAAATTCTATATTTTGGGGAAAGCAATCTATTATTTTGCATAACAAATACTCTGAGTCAATTTCTTTAAAAGCAGCTTAGCATTGAAGTGGTTTCTTTGGAA